ATAATCTAAATAAATTAACTAAGTTTTAATATTTGGCCATGCTAAGAAATCAATAATAATAGAATATTTTTTACATTCGTGAGAAAAATTTTTAGAATGACAAATATTTTAAATATTCAGCACCCCAAACTGAATAATTGGAAAATATGAAATATCCTAATTATAATCAATAAGTTAATTAAAAGTAAAAATAATACTAAAATTGATTATTATTTTTTAAGAAATTATGAGAAAAATTTAAAAAGGTAAGAAATATTCAACAATTTCAATATAAAAAAAATATATTGAAATTTAAAAATTATATAACTACAACAACATCTGTCTCTTATACACATCTAGATGTGTATAAGAGACAGATATATATATATATTATATTTTATATTATATATAAATTCGCGTATATATTTATTTAAAGATATGTATATATGTATATAATGAAGAATGATAGTGCAGGCGGTACATGACCGCTCCAAATACCTGCTCGTTGCAAATGTGATAACGCCTGTAGACGCCAATGCACGCATTGCTGATATAACGTTTGCCGGTCGAGGAGTTGCTATGGGCGGAATAAAAGAGTAGAAGACAATTAAATGGGTCGAAAACTACTTGCAAAAAGACTACACAAAGATAATATAAATGGACAATAAGGCAATAAGTATGTGTGAGAGTAACTTTTTGAAGATTGCATACATAATTTGTAATGCAACTAAATAATAAAGCTCTACATATATGTACATACTTATATTTCGAGTATCAAGAATATATAGTGCACAAACGATATAGCAATATGTACATACATGATATCTATATATAAATGTATATCAACGGTGGAACCTTGAAAATCTGCGTATGCATAAAATTCGCAATTTTAATTAAACTGAACTCAGAATGAACTTCAACCAAGACACTACTCGCACACACACACACACATACCCACATATACGCTTTGAATTTTATGTGACTGAAATTCACAGCTCATTGTCTCGCACAGTAGCAGGCATTTATTTATTATTTTATAGCTTTATATTTATTTCTTTACTTTCAATTGACCCATTGACGCACGCACCAACACACAGACACCACGCATACCCAACTACATATATAATATAATACTCGCACTTTGCAAAACTCCAGACTCTGGGCAACGATGGGCGCTTGGAAACACACTTGAGATAGCAAACAGTGAATGAACACATACACATCTCCAAAGTAAATATTGTGCCACATTTATATTGAAAATGTGTGTGTGTGTGTGTGTGTGTGTTGCTAAGATATAAACGTTTAATAAATAGTAAATAGAAGCACAAAAGTTTAATGACAAAACTTAGCAGCAAATTTGCACTGCTACTAACACTAACGGCAATGGAATTTAAGTATTCGCCGGAACAGCTCGGCGCCAGCGCTTGCGTGGAATTCGCAAACAGACAGACAGCCAAGCACGCACTTGATTAGCAGATGTGGTGAAAATATAGTGCTCGAAATTTATGTGTCTGTCTATATGCTACTCTGCATGGGTTTATGTATTGGTAAGTTGCGCATACGCCCTGCAGTATTTTGCAGTGAGACACAAACGCCAAGAAGCGAAAATTTATCAAAGCAAATAATAGTTTAATGAATATGTAGGCAAATGCTTATAGCAATACATATGCTAATTTATTTACCAACACATAGTATATATATAATATATTTTCTATTTATTTATATGCAAGCTTTACAGTTGAGTTTAGTTTCCTCTGCCACAATGCCTTTGCAATTAATCACAAATATTCGCAGAATTTTTTCTATGTAGTTCATTTATTCGCAACATTGGCTATTAAACAATTTATTTTTTATTTTTTTATTTTAATTTTTTTTTTAATATTTTTATTTCATTTATTTGTGTTTGCCTTTTCAATTTTATTTTAATTTTTTCCCCCTTTTTTATTTTTTATTATTTGTTTTATTTTTTCAAAACTTTAAATTTTTATTTTTTTGATAAATTTATTATTTTTATTTTTAATTTTTTTTATTCTTTTATATTTTGGTTTTTTGTTTTTACTTATTTTATTTTTGTTTTAAATTTTTTTCTTTTGTATATTTTATCTTGTGTTCTCCACAGAATGTCAAGTGTAATTGAAATTGAAGCTAAGCGCCGACAACCAGCAGCCGGCAGTCGCCCGCCATCTCTGGCTTGTACTCTTACAATTCATTGTGACATTGGCCACAGCTGGTCATTGTTGACACAAATTTCTAGCTATTTTATATTTATTAAGCATAATTGGTGGGAATTTAAATTCAAAGCGATCGACACTTTTTGCGAATATTGAGTGAAAAATATACATATTTTCAAATGAAAATTTCAAAAGTTATGTTATTGCAAAAGAAATATTTCATTAGAATTTGCGGGATATATGTACATACGTACTATATTGATTTTCGATCTAATGAAACTTAGCACAACCTGCATTCATGAACGAATCATTATCAACATTTCACATATTCTATATTTAGTATTTTGGGGAAAAATCAACTTTTTTTAAGGCAGTGTTCTAATCTAGAAATTTTAAGAGATCTAAATTATTTTCATTATTCCATAGTTTCCAAATTGACAGTAATTTGTTAGATTCAAGACTATCTCCCTCAAAGAATTTTGCAAAATTCAAATTATTTCTGAAGGTGTAGCCTTTTTCGTGTCGAAGGCATAGGTGACTGCAGGCCAGAACTTTAAACGCACTACTTTCTACGATGATGTAGCCATAATATATCAAGTTCTAATCAGCGGATTTACTCCAAATATGGCTGAACATTCTTAAAGTATCCTTCTATCATACAAAGCAATACAAAATTAAATATAAAATATTAAAAAAAAAAGCATTGACAAAGTTTAAAATTGAGTGAAACAAATGATTTTTTATTTTGAGTAGCCGCCTATTTATGAAAAATTATTTTTAGTTCTGTACCTTCTTGAGGTAACGACATTCGTACCAATGGACAACCCATCATGTTATATTTTTCAGATAACCACAAGGCTAAAAATGATGGCAGCCTTTTTACCCCATCTACAATGAGAAAAAGTTTTTTTTAAATAATTTTGCATACTCTTCAAATTAAAAATAGAAAAAAAATTATAAAAAAATAGGTGACAAATAGATCAAACGCTTTTTGTTTTTAACAATTGCCAAAAAAAACTTGAAATTCTGTCCTCTGAACAACAATACTCTCTCAACGCCGTCATTTTTTTCATTTTTTAATTTTTCCAGCATAAATCATTGCACGAGTGCGGACAATATATTGAATTCTAGTTGGCTTTTTTTTAGGTTTCATTAAAGGAGAAGGCTGGAATTAGTACAGCACAGTGGATCTGTTTTTTAGAGTCTTCAGAGATCGCATGTTATTTGGAAAATAGGTACTATTTTCTAGAATATGTTTACGGTATGTTCTTAAAATATGTACAAATGCCCCTTAAATTAAAACCATTTGCTTTACAATTTTTGTTTTAATTTCCAAAAAGCGTTTTTATTTTAAGCTTCACACTAAGTGTGTCCCTTAAAATGTCTTTCTCATTTAAAATCAATCATTTAGTCTATAAAGTAAACCCCAAAGATATTGTATGACTAAAATATAGTATTTCCAATGAAGCCAACCATGGACTGGAACTGGCACTAAGAGATTACTACCTCTTCCTGACTAGAGCGAATGATTTTTCTCTTGGCGAAATTCGCCACGAGATAAGATTATGACAATCGACTGTCCCTGTTTTTGCCGACAAGAATGCGGATTGTTAATGAAATTTATGAAATTTCCTTCAAAATAACAAGTTATCGGGCATAAGTCAACATGGCATTACTGCGATCATTCTAACTAAGCAAAAAACGCAAAATTTTACCAAAAATTAATGCCTTCTTTTTTATCGGATCTTATATAATAAAGCTTCTTCCACGAATTAAATATTTGCAAGTAATTCAAAACGGGCCTCTTCTTTCGTCCTTGAGTGTATCTTCTTGGGACAACCAACTCTGACCTCAACTAACCTATTTTTAAAACACCACGAGAAAATTGTAATCACACCTCTCTTTAAAAATCTATTTATAATTGTCTTACACATAAAAAATTATATATTTATAAAGAATTTTTAGTTCCTATAAACGCATGTTGAATGCGTACTAATGAAACAGCTACAAAAACAAAAAGAAATAGTTCTATAATGACTAAAGCATACCCAACTAGCTGCAAATCATTCTCTGCTGATAAGGACTAAATGTGAATATGTGCTTATGTATGTATATATGCATTTGTAGCACGATCATTATGGGGCGCCGTAAGTTCTACATTTCACGCTACACACTGATCTCATCACATTTCAATTTTTATACAAGCCTATATGTGTGTCTATGTGTATGTGTATGTCTTTATGTAAGTGCATGGTTTTAAATTAAAAGGCGTACTTTTTTAATATATTCCCTTGTAATTGTATATAATATACGTATGTATGTATGTGTGTAAATATTTTGTTTTTTATATTTATTGTTCTATTTGTGTCTTCCAAGTACATGCATAGTTCAGCACATCAATAGTATTGTAAGTTAAGCGATAACTCAAGCCATGCCACTCCATATACATATATTATATACATATATATATTTATATATACATATATTTGTAGAAATCGATTTTAGGCACTGCAAAATTTATATTTCATTATAAAACGCAATTCAGTTTCGAAACAACTGCGAACGCGAGTGGATTTTTCCCCAGTAAATACATAAGCCGCTGACATCACTGAGCGTTTTGAGGAAGAACTTAATCTTTAACGGTTATATAAATATCGAAAAGAGTCTAAAACGATGGATAATAAGTTACAAAAAATGTTATTGTTGAGCGTTTTGTTGTTGCATCAGGTAAAGCAGCTGCACGTGACACATAAATATTTACTTATTACTTAATATAAATATTTTGAATACAAAAATCAAAGCTTTTTTGCGAAGGCGAAGTGTTACTCACGCTGATGAAAAGTTCATTTATTTTGGTTTGGTTTCTTTATTTTTGAAACAACTAAATTTTTTGAGCATTTCTATTTTCGAAAATACCTATTTAATATTTAAAAAAAAATTACTAAAATTTTTTCTTAATTAATTAAACAAAATTCAAAAAACTTGTATGCATACTTTTAAATTAATTAAAAAAAATTATCGGCAGACTTTTTTAATGATTAAAAAGTCACTAAATTAATTTATTGAAACATTCAAATGGTATTTTTAATAAACTAAAAAACTCTATTTTAAATTCAATTAAAAAATTAATACAGATTTTTTACTAAGTTAAAAACAAGCTGCAATTTCTTTCAATTAATTAAGTAAAAATCAATACAAAGAAATTTGGAGTCTTCTTATTAACAAAAATTTATAAAAATACAAATTTAATTCCCATTCTTATGAATAATTAAAAAAATTTAAAATAATTAAATGCAAATATTTAAATTAATTGAAAAATGTAAGAAATAGTACGGATATTTACTTCATAAAAAACGCAACTGCAGTTATTGCAATTTACTAACAAAAAAATTAAAAAAATTGAATTGCATATTTTTAAATTGAGTTCAAAAATTCAAACCGCAGACTTCTTAATTAATTAATAAACGTTAAACAAATCTAACTGCAATTTTCTAATTTCATTACTTAAGAAAATTTCAAGAAAATTATCACAGATTTTTACTGAATTAAAGTAATTTAAAAAATTAGCGTTGAATTTTTAAAAATTTAATAAATTTATTTTAATTTAGTTTATTACAGAGCTTTTACTGAAGTAAAATAGTTAAAAAAAAATTCAACACTAAATTTTTAATTAATCAAAAAATATTTGCACGTTGTTCTAATTAATTAAGAAAATTTCAAAAAAAATATTACCGACTTTTTAGGGAATTAAAATAATTCTAAAAATTCAGCAATAAATATTATAACTAATTTGAATTAAGAAAATTTCAAAAAAATTGTTACAGATTTGCTACTGAATTAAAATAATTCAAAAAATTCAACAGTAAATTTAAAATTTATTTCAAATAATTAATTTAATA